AGCTAGTGATGTCTTCATCGCCTTCCACGCGTTTCGATGGCAGCGACATAGATGGGTTACGCGGCCACACATGGCCACACATGGCCACAATGAGCCATGACACAAGACATGACGCAACAGAAGGTGCTGTCCATGCACATAGGATATACTGTGACTGTGACAGATTCAATTCCTTGTGGGAACTAGTTGGAACTAGCTGGCTTGAGAAGACGGTTGCCATGACCGAGGCTTACAGAACCCGACTTACCCAAGCTTCCGCAGATGCTCAGTTCAGAAGTGGTGGAAAGTGTAGAGTTTCTTGCGTCGAACATGGTCGAACCAGGATAAACCCATTCCTAAAATCATTCTGGCAAGGTGCCATAATTCTCAATAATTCTGATATGACTCAAGGTGACGGAGCATTGACTTAATACGTTTTGCACTGCGCGTTGCACTTTGTTGCACTTTGAGCTGAACCACTGCACCAAAGTGCAGTCTCAGGAAGTCCTACCTGCAGGAGTATGCAGAGACCAAAGCAAAAGGTGACTTGGAGCTGGGGGTCCTTTCTCTGAAAGGGATCCTGATGCCTCTCTCATTCAGATTGTGTGAATGTGTGGTGTGATCATGTGAATCAGCGCTCAAGTGCATTTCAGGACCAGGACAAAATTCATCAGCTCACGGTCAAGCTGACACCCATTTCACATTTTTCGATTCTTTTTGGCTGTCTAGATGCTGTGTATTTTGCCGTCTGCTTGGGAGGCGAATTGGTCATCACCGGAGCTGCTTGCGATGCGCTGATGACGGTGGCAATCGCACCGCACCAGGCGAGCTCATCCTGGACTCTGCTCATGGCCTATTTCTTGGCATATTTCTTGGCATATGCATGGCATATGCATGGAATACATACACTGTGTAACATGCCATGGACCATCCACTCTCAGCACGATCTGAGATCCGGAACCCAATGAGCTGATGCAGCTGATGCAGCTGATGCTGTGCGACTTGTGGCCTGTCCAGCCTGTCCAGGTCTATGGTCCTCGCGACACACTTTACCTGCCCAATTTCATGGAAACAGCTGCGACAGGTGAGTCCGCATAGTCAGCCTTGGACAGAACTCAGCAAAGAAACATGGGAAAGAAGCAGAAGCAGACGATAAAGGACCAATGCGAGATGGCAAAATTGCATGACAATGCTGATCAATGCCGATCAATGCCGATCAATGCTGACATGAGGACACAAGAAGGAATTGTTGAACTGCCTTAATTTGTTTTTTCCGCATGTTTAGCATATTTTCAGCTGAGGCAAACTTCGCGTTTTTGGCAATGGCGTCGTGGCTGATTTTTCACAGTTGTGCAAGCTGAATCTAGATCAAGGTCGCATGTCAGCAATTCTTAGTTTTGGAACAGCCATGGTGCCAAAGATTCCTGACTCTAAGCCCGCTGCCAAGGACAAAATCGAGTCTGTTTCACATATGTCGACAACTATTGTCATGGACTTATCCTTGGTGAGCGTGCACTCTACAAGGTGGATTCATCGGATGCGACATGACATGAACCTGACATGAAAATCATGAAGTTCAAGCAACACATGTGGTCACATGGTGACCACAATGTGACCACCTTTGACATGTGACATGATGTGACGTGATGTGACGTGATGTGACACGTTTGTTTTCAGATCTTTCAGACACTTCTGTGGCCAGGGGAGTCCTGCGCTCGGAAGTTTTTACATTTGCACTGATGCGGCCACTTGGTTTCGGATGGACCTGGATAATCCTGGACTTCGGAACCAGAAAAACATGCAGAAACATTATGAAACATGACGAAATCAACCGATTTTGCTGTGTGCCAAACTAGAGATTTTGATTGAATCTCTTGTTCCACTCCCAAGTTGAAAGTTGAAACTTCAGAAGTTGTCTCATCAGATTCTTAGCTAATTAGCTTCAGGTGATTTCTTTCGGCCCTCGGCCATCCTCGGCCCACCAAACACTCACAGCCTCGAGGACACTCATCCTCACAAGGAGGGCGATGCTAGTGGCTATGCCCTGCTATGGGAGGAAATGGATCGTTTCTTGGCACTTGGCGAAAAATGACCATCCATATACCATCCATATACCATCCATATACCATCCATATACCATCCATATACCATCCATTCGATTTCCACTTGTAATAGTCATATACTTGTCATTTGCTATTGCAAGACCTGCTCAGAAATGTAGTTTTCCAGAAAACTTAAGGTTCCGTGTGCCACATATGGCTTTTTGAATGCTGGAAAAGCTGAGAAGTAGTTGGAATAGTTTGGCGCAATTTCTAATGCCACTGTGCTGATCGTGAAGGGTTTGGAAGTTTGGTGCTATTCATGTGCTATTCATGGTTGAATTCACTTGACTAAATCACAGCGGTTTCAGTGTGTTTAACGATGTCTCTTGATGTGTTTCTTGATGTGTTTCTTGATGTGTTTCTGTGAAACATCTTGAGACGCCCTGGTGACGACTTCTTTTAGGCTTTGCTGTTGGGCT